CAGGCACTCACTATCTTCATTCTTTCCATTTCCCGCAGGATTTCCCGATGCCCTGTACATAATCAAGTGGAAAATTCCCCAAATTTGGCCTACTGCGTCTAAATGGACATTGTCTATTGAAGTTAGGGCTGGACAATAATTCAATATCAATATGTATAGCGATATTTTTTTTCAATAACGGTGATATGGTTTTTAAACACATTTCCGATATAGCATACATTACCAGTGTTTGCCATACATTGATGTATTCGTGGCGTTTGACTTCGTTGAATAAACATGAGCACTGCACGTTTTAAAATCAAAACTTGTTGCGGGTGTTTTATATGAATGTATCTCTGAAGGGAAAGGACTGTCTTCAGAAAAGTTTCGATGGGATTTTTATTTTATCTAATAAAGGAGTGTTCATGAGCGGAGCTGATTTGATTACAGCCGTTACTGGAGAAACCGCTAGTTCTACCGCTCTAAAAGCGCCTCCTGCTGGCGGACAATCAGTTTGCACTTTTCGTACTTTTTATACTGGCTATCAGCCTACACTACCAGTCAAAAGCTTTTGAACAGTAATTTTTTTAATGTTACAATTTTTTTTTTTTTTTAGAATTCTCTTCTGCTCACCAAGGCTACATTTATTTGATCCAAAGTACAGCAAAAAAATTGAAATATTTTTACTATTTAAAATAACTGCTTTCTATTTGAATATGCGTTAAACTGTAATTTATTTCTGTGATCAAAGCTGTATTTTCAGCATCATTACTCCAGTCTTCAGTGTCACATGATCTTCAGAAATCAGTATAATATGCAGATTATCAATATTTTGACAATATTTTTTTTTTCAGGATTCTTTAATAGAAAGACCTAAAGATCAGCATTTGTCTGAAATAAAAACCTTTTGTAACATTATACACTATTCCATTCAAAAGCTTGGAGTCAGTAGGAAATTATAGAAATTAATACTTTTATTGAGCAAGGATGATTTAAATTGATCAAAAGTGATGATAAAGACATTTATAATGTTACAAAAGCTTTCTATTTCAGATAAATGCTGTTCTTCTGAACTTTCTATTCATCAAAGAAACCTGAAAAATTCTACTCCACTGTTTTCAACATCATCATAAATGATTTTTCAGCAGCAAATCAGAATATTAGACTGATTTCTGAAGATCGTGTGACTGGAGTAATGATGCTAAAAATATAGCTTTGAAATCACAGGAATAAATTACATTTTAAAATACTAAAATACTAGTAAACTATTTCAAAATGTTGGAATGGATTTTAAAAAATGCAGGATTGAAAAAATTTCACATTTCTTGTTTGAATGAAGGCTAAATACAAATAAAAGGTGAACATTAATTTATTTGTGCTGGGTTTTTTCTTTTTTTGTAAAGTATTATATGGTTTTATATGAGGTGTCAGAGACTTGGCAAATTAATTTTTCATAAGTTTGTATGCACAGACATCTGTTGTGGTGTTCTTGGCAGTTTTTACGAGGCTTTTTTTAATAGTGTTCATATCGATATCGGAATTATATCGTATCGACCGAAATTAAGAAATATATCGTGATCTAAATCTTTGCCATATCGTCCAGCCCTAATTGAAGTCAAAAAGCTTTTGCATGATTCTGAACAGCAGTTATACTTATACAGCATTTTATCTTGACGTCCACTTAAATTATATTTTTATATATAGTTTCTTATAATAATTTAAAAAGTTGTTCCATTACCGTTTTCCAACTTTTCTCCGTCCCTTACAAATAAACGGGCTGTTTTTGCTGCTGCTAACATTTGTGCATCTGCTTATATCATTCATGTGTTATCTTAGTATAATCACGTCTTTGAGATACTAATATAGTATTTATTCATATTTTGAATTGGCTTTTATTTTTATACTTTTCATTTTGTTTTTAGTCAGTTTTAGTATTTTGTTGTTTGTTTTTGTCATTTTTGTTAGTTTTTTCTTAAAGGGGTCCTATTATACTTTTTCACTTTTAGTCAGTGTGTAGTGTGTATGTTTGGGCATAAAAAAAAGATCTAGAAAGTTACAAATCTCAAAGTCCACTCCAAAGGGAGATATTTCGTTTTGTTTTAAAAAATCCCTTTCCAAGAACTACAGCAAACGGCTCGTTTGGACTACAGCGTTTGGTTTCCGGGCTTTGTGATATCACAAAGCGGCTCATTGGAATATCATTACAAATAATTCCCGCCTGCAGAAATGTGAATGGTTGGGGGGTGGGGAGGGCGAGGTTGTGGTTAGAGCGCTTGGTTGAGCGAGCGCATGAGACGAGACGACGAAGAAGAAGTGCTGCAGAGTTAGTGCATCAGAGAAAACCAAGAAGAAGAGCTGCTGTGCTGTAGCCTCAAAGTTTCGGCATGTCTAGATTCCAGTCCTCGCGTACCCCCGCTCTGCACATTTTGTGTGTTTCTCTTATTGCTTCATACGTTTGTTATATCTGACTGTAAGTGCCCTGCGAAGTGGACTTTACCGGATATTCCTCCATGATTCCAGT